AATGTTATCAAACTCATCAAATTAGTCACTGTAGGCTTTATGTCTTAAGTAAACGCATCTCCCTTAACTAACTGTTGCTATTTCACAGGTATTGACATATACCAATCCAAGAACACAGCCTGTAGCCCTAGGAGCAAAGTCCCCCCCCCCCCCAATTTTTCGTATGGTTCCTAGAGACTCTTTAAAGATTACTGCCTAGTTATAAAATGTAATGTGAGAGAAAACTGATAAAACAGGTAAGGGGTTTACCTTAATTTAAAGTAGATGTAATTAAATTGAGCATTTCATTTCTTGTCCTCAACTTTCTTACTTTTATGGCAGAGCTTTGGAAGTGAAAAATATAACTGTAGGCCAAAAAGGATGCATCTTTCCATTATAGATAGATGACTGGAAAGGAGCCAAACTAGAACATTATTTTTTTAAAGAGCCGAGGTGGCGCAGTGGTTAAATGCAGCACTGCAGGCTACTTCAGCTGATTGCAGTTCTGCAGTTTGGCGGTTCAAATCTCACCCGCTCAAGGTTGACTCAGCCTTCCATCCTTCCGAGGTGGGTAAAATGGGGACCCAGACTGTGGGGGCAATTTGCTGACTCTGTAAACCGCTTAGAGAGGGCTGAAAGCCCTATGAAGTGGTATAAGTCTAACTGCTGCAGCCAATAAAAAGAAATATCTATCAACAAACAAACAAATTATCTATCAATTAAGATTCAAACATTCTTCCACTGTAACATTATTACAAAAATATTGTTGTCAACATTTAGCATTAAGTTATTTGCCATTTCTGTTATTCACAGAAGAATTAACTACGAGGGTTAGTTGCTAATAAGTACATTGATGTTTAAACATTTAAAACTAATATTCAGCCAAATAAAGTATGCCACTTGCCTCTTTGGTTATTAGCCAGGCTTTTTGCAAAGCAGCAATAAATATTAACCGACTTTTTTTAAAAAAAGAACATGAATACTAACATAAAACTATATAGTTAGTTGTACATGAAATTACTACTGCAGTAATAATGCTGCAGTTTCTAAATAGTCAAGCAGAGCCAAATCAAAACCCTAATCCATTGTGATCTAGAAAATATTGCTTTTACAAGGAGTAGATGTTAACAGTTCTATTTTCTCCCTCTCAATAGTTAAGCGCTTCTTCTCCATATCAGAAGGCTAAATCCAAGCTTATATGGTAGATTCCAATCTGCATAACCTTATTTTATTTGAAATATGAATTTTGACTGAATTTTAGTACTCTAGTCGGATATCTTTGCTTTATTCCACCTACTAAAAATACATGGGAGATAATATGAAATGTATTCAATCAATATTAGAACAATCTTCATTTTTGAGTTGCTTTCATTCTCCTTGTGCATTCACAGAACAGCTTTAAACCCCACCACCACCCTGCCACAAAAATACTTTTTAAAAAACAATCTTTAAAAGAAAAGAGTATTCCAATGCTCTATGTCAGAAAGCATTAGAGGGCATGTTTAAAAAATAAAGCACATAAACAGCTTTGTAAATTTCGGGTGCTTGTATGATGTACAATTAAATCTTTCTGTTCCAAAATGAAAGATAAAGGCTTGTAATTTCCTTTTTAATATAGTTTGTGGGGGAAAATATTGCATTATGTTTTATTTATCAAAAGAACATTATATTGATATGGTCCGACTAATAAAGTCCTACAGCTGTTACATGGAATTTTTTTCACAGGATTACTAAAGAAAATTTCATTGCTATATCCAAATAAATTGGAGTAGGGCTCTCTAGCCAACTCTTAATGTAAATGTTATAGGAGCTTGATAGCAAACTGGCTGCTATTCCTACTATTAGGAATAATGTTAAAAGTTGCAAATTCTTGGTATGACTAAATGACAAGAGAGATGGTACCCGTGTTGTTATAATCTGAAATGAATTGCTCAATGTCTTGATGTGCTTCTGCTCGGTCAAATTTCAAATGTAAACTGTTGCTTGGGAATTGATGAAGAAGAATTTCGAGTTTCGAGTTTTCGAGTTTAATAAAATTTGTATGCCGCCCACTCCCATTGGGACTCTGGGCGGCTCACAAGCAAGACAAAAAAAGCTTATTTAAAAATTATAGATAAGAAATACAATATTAAAATTAACACACCATACAACCAGTCCAGTGGGGCTGGATATAATCAACAGCCCCAGGCTTGCCGGAACAGCCAGGTCTTAGTGGCTTTACGAAAGGCCGGGAGAGTGGTAAGGGTCCGTATTTCTATGGGTAGTTCGTTCCACAGGGCTGGTGCAGCAACAGAGAAGGCCCTCCCCGGAGGGGCCGCCAGCCGGCATTGTCCGGTCGACGGCACTCGGAGGAAGCCCAACTTGTGTGATCTTGTTGGCCGTTGGGAGGTATGTGGCAGGAGGCGGTCTCTCAGGTAGCCAGGTCCTAAACCATGTTGGGCTTTAAAAGTAACGACTAGCACCTTGAAGCGCGTCCGGAGACCAATGGGGAGCCAGTGCAGCTTGCGGAGGATAGGTGTGACATGGGTGTACCTAGGTACACCCATTATCGCTCGGGCGGCTGCATTCTGGAACAACTGCAGTCTTCGAACACTCTTCAGGGGCAGCCCCATGTAGAAGAAAGGAATCTGGTCAAACTCCAGTTAGAGTTTGGATTTGTCTGGATTTTATTTAAAACTTGGACCATTGTATTACCACTCATCATTCACACACACCTCTATTTTCTCAATTGTCAGGCTTTGGACTGCAAGGGACAAGGATAGTTGCCCCTCCCGAATGATGAATGTATGTTGCTTATTACTTTTATTACATGTGTCTATGTCACTGTTTGTATTTCCCCTCCCTGATTTTATGTGAGCCGCCCTGAGTCCCCTCAGGGAAAAGGGCGGCCTACAAATGTTAATAAACATCTCAAACATCTCAAGCTCCTCGGGACAGAAACCTTCCTTTTTGTTTACAGTATGAAATAAAAGTGGAATATTTATGAGCCACGGTGGCACAGTGGTTAGAATGCAGTATTTCAGGCTAACTCTGCCCACTGCCAGGAGTTTGATCCTGAGTGGCTCAAGCCTTGACTCAGCCTTCCATCCTTGGTAAAATGAAGGCCCAGATTGTTGAGGTGGTATGCTGCCTCTGTAAACCGCTTGAGAGGGCTGTAAAGTACTATGAAGTGGTATATAAGTCTAAGTGCTATTGCTATTTATGCTAAGTCAGGTGGCGCAGTGGTTAAGGGTGCAGTACTGCAGGCCACTTCAGCTGACTGTTATCTGCAGTTCGGCGGTTCAAATCTCACGGGCTCAAGGTTGACTCAGCCTTCCATCCTTCCGAGGTGGGTGAAATGAGGACCCAGACTGTGGGGGCGATATGCCGACTCTGTAAACCACTTAGAGAGGGCCGAAAGCCCTATGAAGGGGTATATAAGTCTAACTGCTATTGCTATAACAAACAAATAAGTAAGGAATCCTTGTTGCTCTCTTGAGCTTTGTTGTTTTCTTGCGGACTCAAACTAGGTGACGACACCACTGATGATGTTGCCTAGCTTGAGTAATGAAACATCTGAAGAAAACAATCAAGCTCAGACACCACCAAAGGGCCCCTCATTTCAACTCCGAGCTACAAAAATTCTTTATTGGTAAAGCAGCAAGTTTAGAATTTATGATGAAAAAATAATCTATATCTCCAATATAATCATATGACTTCAGAAATTCTATACCCCAAGATGGAGAAAATTATCTAAAACATTTTAATGCAGCAGCTAAAAAAAACAGAAAGTTCACAAATGTAATTCCCCCCATGGATATTAACATTTGGATTTTTAATATACAAAGTAGGTAGTATATACCAAGGTAGAATTTGTCTTTAAGAACTGTTCTAAACACAATAAAGAATATAAAGCAATTTGTGAATTGAAGTACCTCTATTTTCTCAATTGTCAAGGCTCTGGACTGCAAGCTTCTCGGGACAGAAACTTTCCTTTTTGTTCACAGTATGGAGCAAATTTCATATTTACTTCAGTACCATTCCATTTATGGTACTGATGGCACTGGTGCTTATGGCATTGTTCTCAACTTAGGGAAATCCAACCGAATACAACAGTTACTGTTATACTGGAGTGAAATTCAAGGTGTAAAAGTGAAGGGGGAAAAACGAATAGAATCAAAACAACATTCTCAGCCATTCCGGTCACAGTTGTCTCAAAGGTGCTTTTTCAAAAGGCAACTGGACTGTTTTTTCCCTTGAGGAAGAAAAAGAAAACATTTCACTTCTCATAAAGAAGCGTCATCAGTTGTGACGGCAGGCGATGGAAGGATAGAGGCTGACAGTTGAGACGGGATGGGGGTGGGGGGGGAGGGAGAATGGAATCCAGTCTCAACTGTCACTACCCGTCTTTCCATCGCCTGCCATTACAATCCATGAAGCTTCCTTGATGAGCAGTGAAACGTTTTCTTCTTCATCCTTGAGGGGAAAAAAACAGTCCAGTTGTCTTTTAAAAAAGCACCTTTGAGAATTACTGAGAATCTCCACATATGAATATATTTTGCCATAAAAAGACTAGGAGAAAACAGAAGAATAAATCTGACCAGGCTGGGGAGGGGGAAAACACTTTTTGACCAGAAAAAAAGGGAAAAAAAGTCACTTTGCTTTAAAAATTACAAAAAAGAGAGATTTTCAGAGGTTTTTTTTGTCTGCCTCTGTCTACAGCTTCACCAGTTTAAAGGGGAAGAAAGAAAGAAAGAAAGAAGGAAGGAAGGAAGGAAGGAAGGAAGGAAGGAAGGAAGGAAGGAAGGAAAGAAAGAAAGAAGAAAGAAGAGAACTGGCTGTTGAATCTTGAGTTCATTTTTTTTCCTTTCCGCCCCCTCCCCCCAATTGTTTGAAGAGCCACCCCCNGCCTGCGCGATCCTCCAGGAGCAGCTGGAGCGTCGCGCAGACGCTAATACGCATGCGTGCACCACGCGCGTGCACGAGGATGCCGCCGGCCCCATTCCAACCGAACCAGTTGGAACGGGGCGAGAAACCCACCCATGAAGGCCGCCCTAGAGCTTTGCATGCAAACCCTGAAGATGCATCTCCTCCAAGGTGCTCGACTGGTGTGTTTCCTTCCCCCAGGTGACGTTTTCCTTTTGCCGACTCAGGATGAGAAGCATCCTTTGCTCTATGGGGTCTTCTCCACCCTGGGGTGAGTGAAGCCCATGGGGTGGGGTTGGGGAGAGCCTGTGCGGGAGATCCCAGCATCACTCCTTCTCTGTCCTTCTGGCTCTGGCTCTTCTCCTCCAAGGTCGGTGTTCCGTGGCTCGGCAGTCTGCGTTTACTCCATGGCTGACATCCGCACGGTCTTCAATGGGCCCTTTGCCCACAAGGAAGGACACAACTACCAATGGGGGCCGTACACAGGACGTGTGCCCTACCCTCGTCCTGGAGCCGTGAGTCCCAAACATCTTACTCTCCGAGGATTCAAGATTCCATTTCCTGTTTCCTCCCGTTCTGTAAACTCCTTCCAGTAACCTCTTGGCTCGCTTCTAATTCCGAGTAAAGCGAGCAAGAAAAGAAATATCCCGAATCCTAATTCTTTCATTTTTTCTCCCGTTGTGAGTTGATGGGATTGTTTTTCCTTCTTTTAGTGCCCCGGAGGAACTTTCACCCCAGGCCTTCGCTCCACCCGGGAGTTTTCGGATGAGCTGGTAACCTTTGTGAGGGCCCATCCCTTGATGTTCCATGCAGTCTATCCCCTCCAGCGCCGTCCCCTCCTGGTGAGGACCAATGTCCCCTACAGCTTCACCACCTTGGCTGTGGATCTTGTGGATGCGGTGGATGGGCGCTACGAGGTGCTCTTCCTTGGCACAGGTATGTTCAGCTCTTTGCAATTCCACCTGGGGAAACCAGCTTGGATTGTGTTGCTGGCCTGAGCTGCTTTTTAGTTTCACCACTGAGCCGAGGTGGCGCAGTGGTTAAATGCAGCACTGCAGGCTACTTCAGCTGACTGCAGTTCTGCAGTTCAGTGGTTCAAATCTCACCGGCTCAAG